GGGTCAAACACCCTCAAACCACAAAACACTCTTAATAAACGATCAAGAGGGCTAAAAAAAAGAACTTTTTTTTCTTATACACTAAGCACAAAAATAGTTCAAAGATAGGTAAAAATACAATGCAAAAATGGAGAATAAAGGGACTAATTTCTTACCCTTGAAGACCCCTTCAACAATGGTGCTCCAACAGCCCTCCTTGGCTTGAATCCAACTCCAAAACACCAAAACCAACCCCTTAGAACCTTAGTAGCCAAAGGAAGGTGAAACACTAGGTGTTTGTGTGCAATAGTATGGACTAAAACACCTAGAACACTCAAGAGAGGGAAATAGAGATAGGATATGTATCAAACCCTAACCCTAAAACCAGAGCTTTCCTCTGTGTTTTCTATCTCTAAAATGTCTAACCAACCAACCCTAAGCAAGGGAGAGAAGGGCTCCTCTTATAGAGCTCCTTGTCTTGTGAAGCTTACAAGACAAGCTTCTAAAGAGGGAGATCCCTCCATACACGTGTATGGAGGGGAGCCAAATGCAAGAAAGCTGTGATAATATATCTGCAAAAGCAGATGCACAGTAGTTGGCCGGCCAAAGATGCCATTTTGGAAAAAGGGAGTGCCGACCGGCAATAAATAGTGCCGGTAGGCAATATACATTGCCGGCCGGCAATATACACTGCCGGTGGCAGCAAAAACCAGCCGGTGGCCTATGGCCATGGCCGGTGGTGTGTGGGGATGCCTCACAAGGCATTCCCTGCCCCTCCAAGGCAAAATGCAAGTGTTTGGTGCAAAACCAGACACTAAACGGTCGAGTTCGGAGATCCTGAGGCAAGGCGCGTAGCCGAGACCTCCGGGAACTCCGAACGAACACAAACATGGATGATCACCGAGTGTTCAAACGGTGACGTCCAAGTCTTGAGGACGGTCAAAAATGGGGTGTCTACACCGAGGTCCCACACCTCCTCGCCGAGGTGTGTTCCCGAAGGCCACATTCAAGGAAAAGAAGTTGGCAAAATCTAGGTTTCCCTTTGCTGATGAACATGAAGAACATGAGCACGAAGAACATGAAAAATATGACTGTTCAATCACAACCTGTTATCACAAAATCTGGGATTTTCATGCTACGAGTTTGAAAACATGGACTTGGGTACCCATACTTGTAGATCTTTTCGAAAACAAACAAAAAACATGATTCTTAATGCAAACTTTCGGATCAAAACAAGACTTTTTCTTCAAGAACACATGAACACTATTTTCTCTTTCTAAAACCAGCTTTAAATCAATGCATGGTGTGCAGAACAGGTTTGATCGTGCAATGCAGCTAGATAAACATAAAGGACAACAAAAGTGAATCAAGAATCTAACCTCAATACACGAATCTAACGGTTTGATCTCTAGGAATCAAGCTCGAAAGCCCACTCTCTCACTCTAAAACTTCTTCTTCTTCCTAGAGCTTCTCTCTCTACAAGGCAAAGATATAATACAAAAATGTATATTTTCTGGGTCTACCGGCTGACTTAACCCTCTGCAGGGGTATGTGGCAACGGCTAGTTAGTTCCATTCAAAAAGGTGACTGTGTGAAAAGACAAGACTATGACAAAGTGTGTTCAACAAGCAAGATGGCATGGCCACTCCGGTGGGTAATGATCTCAGCTAAGAGCAAGATATCGGCAAGTAGGGGAATGATGATCTCGGCTAGGAAGGACAACACTTGACTAAGCTGTGCTACACCTTGGCCTAGATGTGCCACACCTTGGTCTAGGTCACACCACTCTCGGACAAGATCACTTAGGTGCAAAGGTAACATCTCGGCCTAGATAATACACATCTCGGCCTTGGTGATGAACACCTCGACCTAGATAATGACATCTCGGCCAATATGTCGGTGCGAAGGTGGAGGTCAAACAAGGTGGTTCCAAGGATATTCTAGACTAAAGATGACCTCGGCTAAACTCACACCAAGCAAGATGCAAAACATGCGAGAAACACTTAAGCAAGACAAATCAAGGTTTGCAAAGATGCAGCATATCGAGACAAGAATCATGTAATGTATGCAAGTGTGACTAGGGTAGAGTGAGGGTTGTTACACTTTACCTAACCATTGCTCTGGGAAAAGCTTGAGGTAGAATAATAATTTTTTATCTATGTTTTGCACAGAAGCTTTCGATCAGCTTACTGTCAAACTAGGTGCCATTGTTTGCCACAATGGCTCTTGGAATCCCAAACTTGGTGATTATGTTCCTCCAGATGAAGTTCTTCACATCCACATCTCAGATTTTGGCCAAGGGTTTAGCCTCGACCCACTTCGTGAAGTAATTAGTTGCCACCAACAAGAACTTCCTTTGTTCAATTGCCTATGGTAGTTTCCAGTTTGCCTACAAGGTCCATGCCCCACTGGGGAAATGGCCAAAAATTGGATACTGAATTCAAATCTGCAGCTAGCTGGTGTATCAAAGATGCAAACCTTTGACACTTTTCACACTTCTTCACATAAGCTTTAGCATCCTTTTGCATGCAGGACCACCAGTACCCCTAAGATATGGCCCTATGAACAAGTGATCTAGCCCCAGCATGGCTTCCGCATATACCTTCATGGATCTCGTACAGGAAGTCCTCAACCTAGGATGGATGCACACATCTCAAAAGGGGCCCAGTGAAGGACCTTCTGTAGAGATGGCCTTCTGTTGACAGGAAAAATGTGGCTGACTTCAATCTAATTTTGTGTGCTTCCTTTTTGTCTATTGGCAACCTGCCATCTCTAAGAAATACTACTATAGCGTACACCCAGTTGGGACCCATTTCCACACACATTGCTTCCTACTCTTTTATTAGAGGCTCTACACTTAGTCCTGTCAAATAATCAACCATGATTGTCCTTGGTTCCCCTGACTTTATTGTACTAGCCAAGTTTGCTAGGGGACTGTTATCATCACGGCTAACCAGATATAGTCAGCAATTCTTGAATAGTGATAACAGCCTGATAACCTCCTTGACATAGGCTATCATCCTTTCATCTCAGGCTACATACTCTTGATTCACAATAAGCTGGGAGTCACAGAAGACTACCACCTCATCAGCTTCTATGGCTGCTGCTAGTTTTAGTCCCTCAATTAGCGCCTCATACTCTACTTCGTTATTTGAGGCCTTGAACCCCAAACGAATAGACTACTCCATCATTCGCCCATCTAGCAATACTAACACTTCTCCTGCCCCTGCTCCCTGCCGATTTGAGCTTCCATCGACAAAAAGCCAGAAGGAGTCTCTGATGTAGATATCGCAGGGCTTTGGTTTCTCTTCTTCCTTATGCGCTGCTGGTATGGGGTTCTTTGGCCCCAATTAGGTTTCCTCTTGTTCTTCTGGACATCCCAAGTCGCGACTCACTAGAGCCCGCCTTGGGATGGCACCAAGAGTGAACTCAGTCACAAATTCAGCCAAAACCTGGCCCATGATTGTTGTTCTAGGCCTAAATTCCAAGTCGTATTAGCCTAACACCACTGCCCATCTGGCTACTCTGCCAGTCAGATTTCCATACTGCAACAGGGACTTCAGGGGATGCTCAGTCAACACCACAGTCTTGTGGGCTTGGAAGTAGTGCTTCAACTTTTTCGAAGCCTTCACCAGGGCCAGTGTTAACTTCTCCAATGGCAGGTACCTAGTTTCTGCACTTGTCAAGGTCTTGCTCACGTAGTATACTGCCTTATGTTCCCCATTCTCTTCGCAGATTACCATTGCACTGACAACGTGGTCTAATACCGCCAAGTACAGGAATAGTTCTTCTCCAGGTTTTGGAGTTGACAAAACTGGAGCTATTGTCAAGTACCTCTTAAAGTTGGCAAGGGCGACTTCGCATTTTTCTATCCACAAAAAATCTGTGGTCTTCTTCAACAATTGAAAAGATGGTTTACACTTATCAGAACTTCGGCTGATAAACCTATTCAAGGCTGCTACCTTGCCGGTCAAAATCTGGACCTGCTTGGCTTTTGTCGGGCTCTTTAAGTCAAGGATGGCCCTGATCTGATTTGGGCTTGCTTCAATGCCCCTTCTAGTGACCAGGTATCCTAGGAACTTATTGGATCCGACTCCAAATGCGCATTTAGAGGCATTGAGCAGAAGCCGAAATGATCTCAAGATATCTGTGACGACCCTACCACGTATAGTAATTAGCACTTAATTAATCGAGGAGATTTGAATTTTAATTGTCAATTATTCCAATTTAAACCGAGACATATGAAAACTATGGAGACTGGTTCATATATAATTCTATTGAAGATTTATCTTGGAATTAGAAGTTGAAAGCCTACATGGCTCAAGAAAAGTATAACTGGTGAATTGAATTATTTTAGTTTCGAGTATCAGATCATATGTGAGTTTAATTAAATATTCGATTCAGTTTAGTAAAATTGAGATTCGATTAATTAGGTCCGAATTGGAGTTAATTAAGGTAATTAAATTGTGAGGATTGAGAATTGTGGTTATTATGAATTAAATTTAACTATGAGTTGTCCAAATTCGAATATGTAATTTATTGATGGAATATTTGTTGATGGAAATTTTGGGTTTGATCCGAAATTGAAGGCCTTAACGATGTGAGTAACCAAAATTGAGAATAACAATGAGTTTAATTGGACATTTGGAGCTTTTTGGAAGTTTGATTAAAAATCTAATTCAGACTGATCAACTTAATTATGATTTGATTGGACACTTATTGAAGTCAATTAGACTAATTAAAATTATGTGGGATTTGTACTTAGTCATGATTAATTGGGTTAGAATTTTATATAACTAATTAAAAATTAAGATATGGTTAATTAAGCTAATTGTAATCAAAGATCAATCTCAATTAAGTATCCTAAGCAAGATTAATTAGTTAAAGAAAAAGTTAATACACAACCACACGGGTTCATATAATAAGGACAATTGTCCCACTAAATGAATAAAATAAAATAATAAAAGAAAAGATGATGAATGAAGTCAAAAGTGGCCTTCAATCTGCTGGAAACAGAGTTAGAAAAAATAAGGAAAGAGAGAGCACGGGTTGAGAGAGAGACCGAGAGGAAGAAAAAAAAAGGGGAAGAAGAAAGCCTTGTGGGATACCAAAATTCAAGCCTAAAATTGTGGAAAATTCATCTCTAGGTAAGAAATTCCATCATCTTCCTAGAATTGTTTAAATAATCTAGACATAAATTGATTTAAGATGGATTTTGAGAGGATTAAAAATGAAGATTTGTGGATCAATTATATAAATTGATAGAAATTTGGTATTGCATGTAAAATCAAGTTAGGTTGAAGATTATGAGTTATGATTCTTTAAATTTGTTAAGTTTGAGTTTAATTTTGAGAATCGTTCTTGAATTGTGTTATAAAACTTACATGCAACAATGATGTATTGAAGATTTAATCCATGCAATGGAATTAGGTTCAAATTTATGGAAATTAACTTCGAAATTAATCACTTTGGGTTTCAATTTAGTTGCCTTAACATGAAATTGAGTTTCAATTGTACATGCATTATGAATTTTTCAAGAGTTTTGAAAGTTTAATTCATGTTTTAAAATTTGTGGGTTTGAAATTGGGTTTGATATGGAGAAATAAATTAAATCTAAATTAGGATAAGTTAGAGAGCCAAATTATGATTTGATTTTGATTTTAGTTTTGTACATGCAATTGTTATTCTATAAGTTTTATGGTTTTAATTTGATATTTTGAAAGGAATTAGTAAGACAGATAAAGAAATTTAGTTAGGTTCAAAATCAAAGAAGTTAATTTGAGAAATTAATTATTTTGGGTTTGATTTTGAATGTCTTAAATGAATTTGAATCTTATTTCCACATGCATGTAATTTGGAGGAATTAAAGAATTAATTCATGAACATGGTTAAGGTTAATCAATATGGCAATAAATTATAATTTATATTTGAGAATGAAAAATTAGTTTGATTTTGATTTAAATTTTTTACATGTAAATATTTTGAAAGGGCTTCATAGCTTTAATTTATGTTTTATAAAACAAAGAAGAAGAATGTTCGAATTATTATATTCATGAAATTATTGGTTTTAATCTTACTAATCAAAGAGATTTTTGTATTAGAAATTGGAAAATTAGTCATGGGTTCATCTTTATTAATTAAATTACATGTGTTAAATTGGTTCATGCAAGAGTTTAAGTTTTGAAAGTGTGTTTCGAAATTATTTGTTGATTTTGAAAGCACATGAAATTCGCTGGCTGCTCAAATGGAAAAGTCACTGCTCGAGTGAATATTAAGGCGAACTAGCATTTTTATAAAGCTTTGCAGACCACTGGAGTGACTAAAGGTCCGCTCGAGCGAAGACCCTATTTTCAGCATATTTTGAAAAATTGCATTTAATTCACATTTTTATTCTCATCTCTTTCCAAAGCCTTCTAGACATGATTTGCGGCTCAATAAAGACTAATAAGCTAACAATCAATATAAATTAGTTGATTAAAAAATAAGTCATTAACCTAGTAGTAATTGATTAATAAAAGTAAGAAATTGATTTATTTAGAAAAAATAATTTAGTAATGAAAGAATACGTGAAATGAGAACCTGATTCATGTGACTAAAGAAAGAATAAAGCGTCGTAGAACTTCTAACTATTTCGATAGAAAAAGACAAGAAAAGTCATGTTTGATCAAGGAATCGATATTGTGTTTCAATGTGTAAATGTTACGTGTTTGTGTAGGTCATGCGCTATTGTCTGCCTGATTTATCTGATCTGTCCAATCTGTCTAATCTGCTGTTATCTGTGAGTAATAGCTCTATAAAGCTATGTTTAATTACAAGTATTTTCTGACTGATATGATACAATCTATTTTCTGAAATGCTATTTTATGAATTATGAATGAATGTCCATGTTTCTAAAATGTATTTGTGGCATCCTTACTTCACGTGGCTCTCGCCCGGGGGTAACAATACCATGGCCAATATGCACGTGGACCTCGCCCAGGGGTAATAATACTATGGCTTATATTCCCATGGCCCTTGCCTGACTGTAACAATACTGAGGCCTATATTCACGTGGCCCTCGCTTGGGGGTAACAAAACCATGGCTACTTGCGCCCAAGCTATGGACCTTTATGGTCGTCGGTACTGACTATACATGTGGGTCTCAGGACCAAGTTGATATGATAACTTATGGTGTACCGCATATAATCTTATGCAAAATCTGAATATGAATATGAATATGAACATGTATGTGAATCTATTTCTAATTTGAAATCTGAATATGCATAAGACTCTGTTTCTGACAAGAATCTATTTCTGATATAAACTCTGATTCCTAACTCTGTGATGGACATCATTCATTAAAACCCTTTACCTTGTTATCATTCACTAGGCTCCAGCTCACTGTATTATTATGTATGTAGGTGATCAGGTGCGTGATCAGGCTTAGAGGCATCTGCCTAGAATCCGTTTTGTCAGCCAACCTATTTGCCTCCCGTAGAGGTTCCCCACATGCCAAGTGGTTATGGCTATGTGATTAAAGTTTAAATTTTGTTTTTCTTATTTGTTTAAACAAGTCTTTGTTTATTTTGTAAACAAGGCTAAGTCCATTTTTGTCTAATCTGTATATGTATGATATCATAAGGAGGATGTGTAGATATGTATATAAAGGTTTAAAAATTTTCTATCTCATGTAAGTCTGCACAACTCAATGGATGTTGTATATTTGTTATTTGCTTCTGCTAGCCCCTAATTTTATGTTATTTTGTTAAGAGGCCTTTGGTAATCAAAGGATTACTGGCCAGTTACGACACTAAACCTACAGGGGCGGGTTTGGTTCGTGACAATATCAAAGACCTCCTGCAAGTCTGTCAAATGATTCCCTGGTTCCTTGGTCTTTACGACCATGTCGTCAATGTAGACTTCTACTGTCCTCCCAATTAGATGTTTGAACATCTTGGTTACCAATCTCTGGTAGGTCACTCCTACATTCTTCAACCTGAAAGGCATCACTCTGTAACAATAGAGTCTTTTTGGGGTGATGAATGTTGTCTTCTCTTCATTTGGGGCATATATTGCTATTTGGTGGAAGCCTCCGTATGCGTGTAGGAAACTCATCCTCCCATGCCCTGAAGTGGCATCTACTAATTGATCGATCTTGGGCAGTGGGAAACTATCCTTGGGGCAAGCTTTATTCAGGATGGTGAAGTCCACACAAACCCTCCACTTGTCGTTATTCTTTTTCACTACCACTGTGTTGGACAGGCAGGTAGGGTAGCTCACCTCTCGAATGGCGTGGGCTTCCAATAACTTGTCCACTTCCTCCTCAACTGCCTCCACATGTATCAATGTGGGCCTTCATGCTTGCCAAATGACAGGTTTAGACGACCTATCCACATTGAGCCTATGACAAGTGACCTCGGGGTCAATGCCAGACATCCGATAGGGCGTCCAAGCAAACACTTCTATGTTTTCTCACAGGAAAGTCTCTAACTCCTTTTCCTCCTCCTCAGCTAAGCCTGAGGCGAGAAAGAAGAAGCGCTCCTCTTCACCTTCTTGGACCAGAATCTTCTTCAAAGCTTTCTCACTCTTGTCGGCTAGTTCTTTGCCAACATCATCTAAGACCTTTATGTCCTTGTCTTTGATTTCCACTATCTCTACTTCTCATATCTTGTAGGTGGACTTCATTGCTGCCATGGAGCAATTTTGCGCTTGCACCTGATCCCCTCTGACCTCCTCAATCCTCTATTTGGTTGGGAATCGCAACAGCTGGTGCAGCGTTGAGAGAGCAGCCTTCATTGCATGCAACAATGGTCTTTCCAAAATAACATTGTGAGGGGAGGGGGTGTCAATTAATGTAAAATCTATGCTTACCTTCTTGGTGCCAGCTTGCACTTCCAAACTTGTGGCTCATAGAGGTCATGTCGGCGTCCCTTTGAATCCAACCATCGGGCTATCAGATTGTTCTAGATCATCTGGATGAAGACCGAGCTTTTTGTAACATCCAACATACATAATGTCACAAGAACTGCCTTAATTAACCAATATGCGCATCACCTGGCATTCTCTAATCTTCAGTGTTATCACCAGGGCATAGTTGTGTGGATGCTGCACCGTATCCAGGTCTGCCTCAGTAAAAGAAACCATTGGTCCCTAGTACTCATTTGTCCTAGGCTTCTTTTGCTGGACCTGATACACGTGTTGCAGGTGCCTTACTCTCTGGGTCTCCCCTAGTACATCATTCTCATTGACCTTCGAGTGAATCACATTGATCACCTGAGGTCCATTTGCTTGATGTGGTGGCGGTGGTGGAGATGGTGCTACTGGTGCCTGGGGAAGGCTTGCATGCTCTTCTCTTGTCCTGGCCTCATCTACTAGGTCTCTCAGGTGACCCTGTATGACCAGATCCTCTAAGTGCGTCTTCAGAGCCCTGCACCCTGAGTTAAGTGCCCATCCTCATTATGGTAAACACAGTGCTTTCCAATGCTCCTTCCCATAAACTCGCTAGGGATCTTCTCTGGCGCTCTATAATACGGCTGGTTCCTGATCCTTTCCAGAACTTTGTAGATTTGGATCCTAAATACAGTAGTGACTACCTGTGTAGCCCTCAACCCTGTCTCTTGCCTTTTTATACTGGAATTACCTCGGCCTTGCTTCAGCGAGCTACTTCTCTTCTCTTGCTTTGGTGTCTTCGTTCCTTGCGTGTCCTCTTCTGCTCTGGCATATTTCTCAATCCGTGCCATGAGCTCTTCCATACTTTTTGGTAGGTTTTTTCCAGCGATTTCCAAAGTGGGCATTCATCATCTAGGCCGTTCTTAAAACATACGACCGCCAGCTCCTGTTTACAAGCCAAAATTTAGTTAAACACCTCGTAATATCACTTGGCGTAAGCCCTTAGGCTTTGACCATCGCTAATGTTCAAAGCCAACAGGAAGTCTACCCTTAGTAGCTGCAACTTGTTTGTAACAAACCTAGCCACAAACACCTCGGCCAGGCCTTCCCAACTCTTCACAGTTCCTCTCGGCAACTTATAAAAGCAATCAGACGCTATCTCGCCAAAGGATGTTGCACAACAACTGCTCATTCCCGCTCCACAAAGCCATTAAATTTAAATACAAGCCGATATGAAAGTTCGGATCAGACTTACCGTTATAAATCTAGAATCTTGACATATGGAATCTCTTTGGGGCCTTAAACGCATCCAAATCCACCAAGAACGGCGTCCTCGACTTGACGGGGGATATGATCTCGGCGTTATGCCGCTTCCTCTCGAGGTAGTCTCCTAAATCCTTCTTCGTTCGACCGGGAGCTCGGCTATCAATAGATTTTAGCCTTTTTGGCATGCTACTCCCGGTGCAATTGTGCATTCGTTTGGACTTCTCCTCATCCACTGCATCAAAACAACGGCTTGTCTCCTAAATGTGCCGATGTTCTTTGTTATAGGTCCCCTTGGTTTGCGGTGTCTTCTATGAGTCACCTCTCACTGACTCTGTTCGCCCGACATCCCGTAATGGCCGGTGTGAATTTTCCTTTCTCTTGTCGTGCTACGAAACTACTGGGATTGTTTTCTGCCCCCCTTTCTAGGCATCAGTCTTAGCTGCTGGTGCTAACATGTCCTGCAAAGGGAATGGTTGTTGCATCACGTTGTTCTACATCATGAAGTTGACAACTGACTGTAGGTCTGCCAACTTGTTTTGCATTCCTTTCATCTCGCTGTTCCTCCTCAGGCATCTATCCTTCCACAGCTGGAGGTCATTTTCATTGTAATACTCATCTCGGCCACGTTTGTTTGGGGCGTTACCCTCTTTGCCAACGTCCTTCTCTCTAGGATTCAGATCTTATACTTCTTTGTTACGGTTTTCCTTCCTAACGTTAGGATCTGCAAGCTCACCATTCTCACTGTGGATGTCGTCCCCAATATTTTCTTCCTGTCCATTGTTGACCATATGTTCTCCTTAAGTTTCCACAGATGGTGCCAAGTTATGGGTGTTGATTTTTGACCACACAACCAAACGGGGAACTTAGCTGGCGAGTACCGGCAGAATAGATTAAGCCCAAAACCTTGCAATAAGAAGATGAGAATTCCATAGTGGTTCGTCCACCTGGTGGCACTCCGACGATCAAGTCAATAAACAATATCTCCCACAGATAGCAAATAATCCTTAAACTCACAAAAAAAAAACTTACCTCAGACCCACGAGGGTGTCTTGCTTTGGTAACCAGCACCGACCTAATCCCTATAGAAACCTTACTTCAATGGACTCAGGCTCAATGCTCATCCTGGACCCTCATCTAGGTAGAGATAAACTCTTCTTGAGCCTCATCCTTATCCAGACTAAGGTCCTCTATAGCAATCCCGGGTTTTCCCCTTTGCTGTACAGTATTCCAAACTTAGGTTCAGTGTTGTTGGTTGTTGTTTATATCTTATTTTCGTCCTTCAATTCTTTTAATAAGAGTTTTAGGATGTATTGGACAGGTTTGTTGCAGGTTGGTTCTGTTTGGGAACAAATGGTTGCTGCCTAGAATTTGGTGTCTTCGCTCGAGCGAGGCTTTTGTCGCTCGAGCGAGCTCTGTGTTTTAGATCCTTCGCTCGAGCCAGCATTCTTTCGCTCGAGCGAGAGTTGAGTTTTGTGTCTGATGGCTCAAGCGAGAAGTCTTGCGCTTGAGCCTGTGTCTGCGTCTGCGTCTGCGTCTAGTTCTGGACCTGAGAGTTGAAATTCTTGGCTCGAGCAAGCTTTCCTTCGCTCGAGCGAGTGAGCTGTATGTTTTGGGTTTCTTCGCTTGAGCGAGCATTCTTGCGCTCAAGCGTGCTTCTGGTTGTAGACCTGAAGCTTCGAATTGTTGGCCCAAGTGAGGCTTTCTACACTCGAGCGAGGTTTCTTTGTGTCTGGTCGCTCGAGCGAGCCTCATGTATTTCAGTTGGCAGCAGCTTCTTCTTCCTTCACTTTTTCATCTCTTCTCTTACACAAATCCTAGACCAGCTACACTTTCTCTCTCTATATATCTTCTCTCTAGGGTTTGATCTAGTTCTTGAGTGTTTCTACCCTAATCTCTTTGTAAGAAAGATAGAGGGTGGTGTAGGCTTCCTTTTAATTTGAAAATTTGTGGATTTGGATCACTTTGGGTTTTCACCATCTTCTCCATTTGGTCTATTCATTTCGAGGTAGGGATACCCAACCCCATCTTATAAGTTTTGTCATAAATATTGGTCATTTTGATAGGTTGGTGTTGTTGGAAAATTTTGGGAAGTTAGGGTTTGATTTGAGATTATAAATTGGGGGTTTTCAAATGTTGAACTCCATGTGTGTGTGAGAGTATGGAAAAATGGAATTGTTGTGTTGAAATGATGAAAATGAGCCTTAGGGCTAATGTTGAGAAAAAGGGTGAAAAATGCCATATGTGGGTTTTATTGGGTCATTAGTGTAATTAATGACATTCATTGTGAAACAATGAAATTAAGGTGTTATGAGAATAAATGGTGTAGTTGGATTAATTTATCACTTACCTATGGAAATGTTGAAATTATATCTGTTTGATGCATTTATTATCTGTTTAGAAATAACTGCTTTGGGCTATTGGTCGAGGATAGTCTTGATTGTTGTAAACACTGTATGTTGATTAGGGAAAATTGAAACTAATCGAACGTGTTATGTCATTGAATATGACGGTTGGAATAATACATCAAATATGTGTATTTATTGATTATTGTATATGATAAGTGATTATATACATTGTATTGTGTGGGAGGAGATAGGGGATATACTCCACGGTTTGGGAGGAGATAGGGGATGGACTCCATTGATACAGTAAATCTGTGTACCATTTGTGAAGTATGGAAGTGTTTTAATATGAGTTATAGTCTCATTAAATTGTTTGGCCAGGTTCTGAGCCATGATTACGAATTGAAATGGTATAAGTAAAGGAAAGTGGAATGTAACATGGACATGATTGTCATGAAATTGTATTGCGATTTAAATTTGTTTATAAGTGTTAACCATCTATCAAATGCTATTATTTTAGTCATTGCTCATATTTGGTTTAGTATATTTCTACTGGGTTGTGGCTCACCCTATATGGGACATCATTTTCAGGTTCAGGTGATATGCCACCTCCAAGGACATAGCTTGGGAGTTTCTGGGAGTTGAAGACTCTCTTGTTGTTTACTTTTTGTGCATTACATGTAAATTCAAGCTGAGGGCTTAATGTGTATGAGTTAGTACTCTCATTTTTGTAACCAACTGTTGGCTTGGAAAGTTGTAAGCCCATAGGGCATTTACTTTTGTTGTCAACATGCAATACTTTTGTAATGAATACTCTGATAAATGGAAAAAATGCTTTATTCTCTTATGCCTATGCATGTCAAGAATGTGGGTTTTTATGTATTATTTTGAGGGCGTTACAACTTGGTATCAGAGCGTACCGGGTTTGAATACATCGGGTACGTGGGAAGCGGTTAGTACCACATTGGGTTTGTCTCCCTTGTTAGAGACTTAAGTGTAATGCTATGCACTTATGTGATAACATGTTTATGTGACTATATGGGTATGGGATTTAATTTCTAGGATGTTGATTGGATCCTTGGATTTCTGGGAGTCCTGTTGGAAAGGCACTTGATCGATGTTGTTTCTAACCGGAACTCTAGCAACACCTCGGGATTGTCAATATCCGGAAATGAAATTTGTAAGTGCTTATGTGATTGTGTGCTTACGTGGAATGAATTACTGTTGTCCATGCATTAGGACGCGAGTGAAATAGCTTCGGCACATTTGTGAATGTGCTAATGTTCTTCGTTACCTTTATTAGGATGTCTGGACGAGGACGTGGAGGTAGGCGAGGTAGGCTTGGGAGGCGAGAGGTGCCAATACCGAATGAGATTCTGGCGCAGCAGGAGAGTGTTGGTCAGGCCAATATGGCCGAGCCAGTAGGTCAGCAGGCCATGGGCGCCTTAACCCGCGTGATGGCAGGAGCTTTGAGGGAATCTATGGGCATTCTTAGAGCTGAGAATCAAGTCCAGGCCCATGTGGTTGAGGCAAGGCCTTCTTTTCTGAAGAGGGAGTTTTTCCAGTCCAATCCGGATAAGTTTGTGGGGGATCCTAAGGAGCCACTTAAGGCTGATGAGTGGCTTGAGCAGATGACAAAGACGTTTGAGATGCTTGGCATCGAAGACGGGGCTTTAAAGGTGACCTTGGCATCTTTCCAGCGGAAGGGAGACGCGGGTCAGTGGTGGAAGTTTGTTCGGGGCCGTATTGGAGGCACTTGGGAGGCGTTCGTTGGTGCCTTTCAGGAGAAGTTTCTCTCTCCTGCTGTCAGGGAGAAGTTGAGAGATCAGTTCTGTCAGCTCAAGCAGCTGAGTTCAGCAGTGGCTGAGTTTGAGGCCGTATTTACCAGTTTATCGAGGTGTGCTCCTGAGTTAGTTGCGTCTGAGGAACTCCGTTGCCTTGAATTTGAGAGGAAGTTAAGGACCGGGCTCAAGATGAGAGTTGCGGGGTCCATGACTCGGGAGTATGTGCGCCTTGTGGATGCTGCAGCCCATATGGAGATTATCATGAATGAGGAGGAGGAGAGGTTGAGGGGCTCCAAGGGGAGTCAGGATGGCCAGGGGGATGGTAGAAGGCAGAGGGGTTCTAATCCTCAGCAGTCCCAGGTTGCTTTTGCGAGATCTACCTTTCTAGTGCCGAGTTCTAGCTCTGGGAGGGGCAGTTAGGGAGACATTACTTGTTACAAATGTGGTCAGCTGGGCCACAAGTCTCCAGCTTGCCCACAAAAGGGAGGAGGGCAGAGAGCAGCTTCATCTTCGGCTCGACCTCAGAGCCAGAGTCAGGGGAGAGGCTAGCCACTCTCTTGTTACCAATATGGTCAGGCGGGGCACCTGAAAAGGTATTGCCCGCAGTTGAGTGGCACATCTGATGTATCTGGTGCGAGGCAGATGCGGAGTTTTCAGCCTGCACAGCCAGTTCAGGCCTCGAGGGCCAATCAGGGGGCCTCATCGTCTCAGTCTGTGCAGCACTCTTTTGCTCCTAAAGGTGAGCAGGTAGATCAGAGACCTTCAGGGCTCGTGTATGCTGTTATTGTGTAGGATCTCGTACCGGCTCCATCTGTTGTGAGAGGTACCTTTTTATTTTGCAACTCGGTTGCTAATATGTTGATTGATACAGGTGCATCCCATTCCTTTATGTCTGCTGCATTCGCATCTGTTTTGGGGTTAGAGTTGGCACAGTTAGCTTCTCCTACTTGTGTTGTATCACCTGCTGGGGGTGAGTTGATTTTTGAAACAAGGGTGTCAGGGCTGTGATATAGAGATCGCCAACTGTCGGCTTCCATTTTCTTTTGTGGTTATGGCTATGTCGGGTTTTGATGTGATTTTGGGTATGGACTGGTTATCATTATACCGGGCTATTATTGATTGCTACCGCCAGAGGGTTACCGTGTTTACCTTAAGCGAGGATTGTTTCCATTTCTTGGGAGATCGGGTTGGTAGTGTTTTACCACCAGTGTATGATCCGCGAGGGCGGAGTTAGCTTAGTGGTCTTCTTGCTAGCTTTATGAGTAGTGAGTGTGATGAGATCCTGATTGAGTTACACAAAGTGGTTTGTGAGTACTCAGACGTCTTTCTTGAGGATCTTGCTACTTTACCACCTCATCGAGAGATCGAGTTCTTCATTGATTTAGTGTCCGACACGGTGCCGATTTCCATGGCACCTTATCGTTTTGCCCCAGCCGAATTGAGTGAGTTGAAGATTCAACTCCAGGAGTTGCTAGATAAGGGCTTTATCCGTCCTAGTACTTCGCTGGGGGGGAGCACCGACCCTCTTTGCTAAAAAGAAAGATGGGGCCTTGTGACTTTGTATTGACTACTGGAAATTGAATCGGGCTACGGTTAAGAATAAGTACCCTATGCCTCGTATTGATGATTTGTTTGACCAATTGAAAGGGTCCCATTGTTTCTCTAAGATAGACTTGAGATCGGGTTACCATCAGTTGAGGGTCAAGGAGGAGGATATTCCGAAGACGGCCTTCCGTACGCGGTATGGCCATTATGAGTTTCTAGTGATGCCTTTCAGGCTCACTAATGCACCGGCAATCTTTACGAACTTGATGAACCGGATCTTCCGGGAATTCTTAGATCATTTCGTGGTCGTTTTCGTGGATGACATCTTGATTTATTCACCTTTTGAGGAGGAGCATGAGGAACACTTGAGAGTGGTGCTTGAGTTTCTTAGAGCCCATAAGTTGTATGCCAAGTTTGGGAAGTGTGAGTTCTGGCTAAGAGAGGTGAAATTCTTAGGCCCTGTAGTCTCCGGGGAAGGGGTGTCTATTGATACATCCAAGATAGAGGCAATGCAGGCTTGGGCATAGCCTAAGAGTGTTTTTGAGATCCGCAGTTTTCTGGGGTTAGCTGGGTATTACCGCCGGTTTATGAAGGATTTCTCCAGGCTAGCTTCGCCGTTGGCTAGATTGACGTGGAAAGGGGTTAAATTTGTATGGAGTGAGACTTGTGAAAAGTCATTCCAAGAGCTGAAAGTTAGACTTACCACCACTCCAGTGTTGATTATTCTGGAGAGGGGTTTAGGTTATGCGGTTTATTGTGATGCTTCATGAGAGGATTTGGGTTGTGTGTTGATGCAAAAAGGGAAAGTAGTAGCCTATGGCTCGCGACAGTTGAAAATACACGAGAGAAATTACCCTACACATGACCTAGAGTTAGTAGCTGTGATTTTTGCCTTAAAGATTTGGAGGCATTACCTTTATGGTGAGAGATTCGAGGTGTTCTCGGATCATAAGAGTTTGAAGTATCTGTTTACACAGAAAGACTTGAACTTGAGGCAGAGGAGGTGGATGGAGTTTATTAAGGATTACTACTTTGAGTTGCATTATCATCCGGGGAAGGCCAATGTTGTGGCCGATGCCCTTAGTAGGAAATCTGTCAGTGATGTAGCTTGTATAGCCATCCGGGAGTGGGAGATGTTGGGTGCACTTGGCGAGTTTGATTTGCTTTTGGGTGAATCTGTTGAGGCTGCAGCCTTGTTTTCTGTAGTTGTGTAGCCTACACTTGTGAGTCGAGTGTTAGAGGCACAGGGGAGTGACCTTGAGGTAGAATCCCTCTGGGAGACGATCTCCAGTGGGAAGGCTGAGAAGGGTTTGACTGTGTATCCCGACCGGAGTGTGAGATACCGAGACCGTCTGTTTGTGCCGGAGTCTTGCTGAGAGGATGTACTCCGAGAGTTTCACCATTCACGCCTTGCGGTGCATCCGGGAGGCACTAAGTTGTATCATGATTTGGGTCACCAGTTTTGGTGGTGGGGTATGAAGAAAGATGTGGCAATTTTTATGTCTAAGTACCTTACTTGTCAGCAAGTGATGGCCGAACACCAGAGGCCAGCGGGTTTGTTACAACCCTTACCTATTGCCGAGTGGAAGTGGGAACATGTCACTATGGACTTCGTTGTAGGTCTCCCGAGGACTCAGCGGGGTAGTGATGCTATTTGGGTGGTTTTAGACCGGTTGACTAACTTCTCGTACTTTATCTCCATGCGCGTGAGAGATTCGGTAGATCATATTGTCGACTTGTATATTCGGGACATAATGAGGTTGCACGGAGTCCCAGTGTCGATCGTCTCAGATAGAGATCCATGTTTTACTGCTAGGTTGTGCCAGAGTTTGCAGACTGCCTTAGGTACTAGATTGACCTTTAGCACGGCTTATCATCCTTAGACTGACGGGCAGTCCGAGTGTACTATTCAGATCCTTGAGGATATGCTTCAAGGTTGTGTCCTTGACTTTAGTTGGTCGTGGGAGAGGCACTTGCCCTTAGTGGAGTTTTCCTACAACAACAACTTCCAGTCGAGTATCGGTATGGCACCATTTGAGGCCTTGTATGGCCGACCTTGTAGGTCTCCAGTGTGTTGGGCCGAGGTGGGTGATGCGTCTTTGTTGGGTCCGGAATTGGTTCGGGAGACGACGGAGAAAGTTGAGCTTATCCGTAAGAGACTTGTTACAGCCCAGAATCGCCAAAAGTGTTATGCCGACCGTAGGAGGCCTTTGGTATTTGAGGTGTGTGATCATGTCTTTTTGAAAATATCACCTAGGCGGGGTTTGATGAGATTTGGTAAGAGTGGGAAGTTGTCCCCTCGGTTTATTGGCCCTTTC